TTGTTTTGTATGTTTTATTGAATACATTATGTGACCTCAATCTTTTATACAATTTCAAAATTTCTGTTAATTTATCCCGCTGTGTACCCTATACACAATTATTTTTTCCACAGAAAAAACTGAGAAGCAAACGTAGTAGCTTTTACGAGCACGCGTGAATTTTTCCAAAATGAATATTTTTACCCTTAGAAAAAAAACCGAAAAAATCCGCGGAAAAATTGGGTTTTTTTCCGATCCTTTAAAACTATAGTTATAACTCAAGTTATGAGCACAAAATTATACAAATATTCATATCTTATATGTAAAGTATTAATAGAATCAGGGGACCATTTTTCTATAAACCAAATAATTAAATTATGTCCTTTCCCCTATTTAATTTTATGAATGCTTCACGCATATTTAGTTGTACGAAGTAAAGTATTATAATTTCCATTAAACAAGTGTTATTATATAACACCAGGTAACAGAATTTTAAGTAAGACCACCAATTAAAATGTATTAAAATAAATAATATGTTCCCACAAGCATTATAGAGGAGAGAGAAGTATTTGATTGCGACGGCGAAAAGACATCGAAAAGCAATCGTAATAGAGATTACACAAAACAACTAATATCGCCGAGAAAGAGAAGCGAACTATTGCGTCTATTCGTTTGCATCGCTGAATGTCCTCCGGGAACCAGGAAGGCGAGAGAGGATGAGTCAGGACGGAGGGCGATTCGAGATTGGGAAAAGGGAACAGGCGCTCTCTCCTTTCGCCGCTTTTCATTCTAATCCAAGTGCCCTGTCGTCGAGAGGATTTTTTGCATTGTACCCACAGATTTCCCATAGGAGGGTAACCGTCAGATTTCGCCTGGCATTGTTTTACAGAAGCTGTCGCTTTCATCCTCTCCTCTCCTCTCCTTTCACACACACATACATCTCGTATACATACTCTCTCTCTCTCTCTCTCTCTCTCTCTCCCTCTCTTTTTACACGTATGCGTGCGTCTATACGTAAACTAAATAGGGTCGAAACTCATTCTGAAGTGTAGACTTTCAATTGATTACTCGTCGACGACGAAAAGACGGCGTAAAGGGGTTGCATGATAAGAAAACAACGCCAAACGTTCACTCAATCATTTTACGTTCGGCAATTTATATCTATGAGATTACCTAAATATCGCTTTAACACATTACATTATGAATTTATTTTACTTATACATTGAAGAGGTTTAAAATTAATATCATTAAGGAGCTCTTAAAGTTGTCTGTATTACCGACTAAATCATAATTTTTGTATAATTACTTTTGTATAATTACTTTTTTCTCTTTTATAGATTCGAAAATCCTTTTTTCAGCATTAAAGTATATGCATTAATACGTGTCTGTAAGATGGAATTTAGGCCAAGACCGACAAAAAATTTTTTTAAGATTTCAATTTCAAAATTTTTTGTCGTTCTAAGCATAAATTCCACCTCACAGACACGTATTAATGCATATATTTTAGTCCTAGAAAAGAATTTTCGAATCTGTAAGGTTCGGAAACATCATCCTCCATGTATCATCATATTCTTGTTTAACATTGAGTGAATAATAAGGATAAAACGATACACGGAGGTACTCGGGTGACGTTTCCGAACGCAGCCTAAAAGAGAAAAAAGTAATTGTTATAAAGATTACGATTTAGTCGGTAATACAGACAGCTTTAGGATCCCCTTAATATCTATCGTTATTAATATCTATTACATATAAAATAGCAGACTATAAGAACTACACATTATAAGAAACTTGTTGTACATGATATCACTTCAAAAACTTTCATTTAAAACTTCTTTTCCCACAAAATAAGAAACGATTACAATAATTAAGATAATAAATATACAGAGTGTCCGAAAAGTTCCGGGACGGCTAAATAATTCCTCAGGAAAACGTTATCGAGAAAAACATTAAAGACAAAAGTTGTAGGGTTCAAAAAGATCTATTTACTATTACAAATACCAAAAGTTTTTTTTCTCAATGTGTACATTAATTTTTATTCATTTATTTTAGAATTAACGGTTTTTTTTATAAATCCACTATTATTTTTATGTTATTTGTTCACTTATTTATAATTATGTCATTCTAATATTAAAAAAATATTAATTTAACACAAAATATTTAAATAACATAATCACTCTTTGTTAAATTAACACTCAAATATATTAAAAATTCAACACAAAAATTTAAACAACGAGCGGTTTTAATATAAGTACAAAATGTGTTTTATTGTTTTAGCGTTATTTTTTAGTAAAAACAAATTGAAAATCCTGGATTTTTTTTTCCGAAGCTATTCTATTCTGTAGGAGATATTTTAAAATAAAGTCTATCTAATCATTGACGTTCTTAACGGATATGCATCTGGAGCTGCGTTTCGTATTCTCACGCACATTACATTAAAACACATGTCAGATATATGTCTTTCTAAAGAACAACATTGATTGTAGGAGATGTATTTCACTTACGCATATTTCCTTCATTAATCTTCGGAGAAAAAAAATTCAGGATTTTTTAACTTATTTTTCACTACATTAGCTATGTAATTAACGAATTATAAAGTACAGTTTATAAGTTTTCATTGTACATGCACATATATATTTTTATTTATCAAATACACTACATTTCAAGTGTATTTCTTTTCAGCAAAAAGTATCACATCTTCACATGTCTTCGATAAAACATTAAGTAATCTTCAATTATATTCACTATACATTCACTATACTTGAAACTTATGTATTAATCACGAACACAAACTTTTAGAGATTATTTCGAAGCTATCGAAAGAAAAAACGATACTTCTACAAAAGAAACTTTCTTCATACTAAAAGCTTAGGACGCATTCACACATTGGAAAAGCAGATAGTGGAAAAGCAGGTAGTGGAAAAGCAGCAAGTAGGAGGTGGAGATGAAACACTAGTTCTACTAGCTGTAGCTAATGAAAACTAGCGCTTTATCCCCACTCCACCATAAGGCAGCATTCTAAAGTTGTTCCTTGAGAATTTCACACCCACTTTTTCCTCCTCCCTACTTATAAATCTATGACATATGTACAGTTAGTAACTAAAAGGTTGCAACACTTTTCTTTTAGATGGGTTTCGGAATATAATGTAACAGTAATAATAATAAAAAAAGGTAATATTCACAAATAGCCTCGATTTTCCTTGGTTAAAATAACAAAATGTATAATATTTTTTTATTGAAAGAGGAAAATTTAGTAAACTTTTTGATTTAACAGTACAATTTTATTCGGCTACTCACCTTTTGTAAAGAATAATATAAAATTGGGTTGCAAGTAAATTAATTTTCTTTTTTGTAATTTCAACAAAATAATCTATTCCTTATTGTAGAACGACACAAGTGTTTAACTCGAGAAGTGTTTCGCGGAGATGACATGTCTTCTCGTAAGAGAGATTCGACGTCCACCAGTATAAAGCGAAGATGATTAGAGATCATATCAGTTTCGTGCACTTTTCAGTTACAACATATATCATAGTGACAGCCATTTTTTCAGAACGATTAGTAATCAATCAATTTAAATCTATAGATATACCCTTGCTAAATAAGCTAGGGAAGTTAAAAAATGCGAAATATAATTTCATTCTGTAGAAATGAGAGAAATATAATTCCAGACAGCACACACAATATTTATGAAATATTTACAAAGTATTTATAAATATTTATAAGATTTATTTTAAATATGTTATAAATATTTTTGTGGTCTTAGATTGCAAAGATTATAAACGTTTATATTTTAATAATATTTCGAATAAAGCTTTATATAAAATATATATGAAATATTTATATAATGTTTAAAAAAATGAATTTTAATAAAAATATTTATCATAAATATTCTGTGCTATCTGGGATATAAGAATATTATACAAAACGATTTTATATACCAACAAATAGTTTTTACGTCAATAAAAAAATTTTGATTATTCATACAAAACATTTTTCTCGCAATCAGTGTAAGTGAAAACGATAATTCTAGTAAGATTGAATTTAAAAATTATGAACATCTTTATCTGATCTTTCGTTCCTTTTTCAGGGCAATTATTGCGCGACATAGCCCCGCGGTTGCAACAGTACTCGAACGAAGCCAGTCAATAACGGCTGGTCTATGCGCTATTTGTACTTCGTCCTATCGAGGTAATCGATAATAATAATTGCAGTCCGTGCGATATATCGCGTCGAAGTGGCCCGCTCCGCTCCGTCGCAAGCTGCAAAGTAGGGTGACAGAGTGCGACGAAGTGGGACGAAGAGCAGCGGAGTTACACGAAAACTGAGATCTGACGACCAATGGTGCACGAGGGGCTGGTCGATGGGTGGTCGACGGATCAACCGGTCGACCTTCGAACAGGACCGGCGAAGCTACGCCCATAAACGCGTGGTTGCGAGTGGGGTATGCAACGGACACGACGGAGAGGGAAGAGATTCCCGAGAACTGAGAAGGACAGTGGCGGCACAATGAGTCAGCTGTCAGGAACGCGAGGCAGCAGTTCACAACAGTGTAAACCCTGGAACTAAGCTAATCTCAAGATGAGCACAGACAGAAGCAGATAGAAAGATGTGCAGCGCGTTTGATCAGTGACTTGGTGATAGAACAATAGTCCCTTAAAAAATTCGATCTATTGATTTCTAATAATTTTTAGTGAAAAAATATTGTTTCATTATAATAGTAATGAAAAACGAAAATCTAAGGCATCTCGATATAACCCTTGTCCTTTAGATTTGAAAAATCTAACAATAAGTGAAAAAAAAGAAGAAGCATCACATTTGTGAAGTAGTTAAGAAGAATCATCTGAAGATTTCTGTGAAAATGTGCAATATATGTTTACAAAAAAAGGTAGACGATCTGTGATTAGATTTTTCTCGTGACAAATGCAAATATTTCAAGAAAATTTAAACTTAGCGAGCAAAGAGACAATATTTTTCGTAAGTTATAAAATTAGTTAGCCAATGAGAACGTGAAGTGAAAGAACTCCATAGTCAAACGAAAATTATTAGTTTGTAAATTGAAATATTCACCAACGAATTTGTGAATCTCATAATATAAATAAGCCCGTGATCGTTTACATTCGTTAAGTGTGTATGTGTGCGTGTCAAATTTGTAAACAGTCTCGAACGAATAGTCTAAAAGTTATGAAGGATTTATGCCGATCGATGAATTTGCTAAAGCATAGTTTAGATCAAGAACAAGTATCGTACAATCCAGTCAATAATTCAAGCTCGGACGCAGATTCGAACTACGGATTCGACGTCTACTCACCGTCTTTGCATTCAATGTATCATCCATTCCCCAATGTAATGTCACCTGGCGTTATAGACGCGAGTGATGTCGGGAAACAGACACCTGCGCAACAAGAGAAGCATATTAAGAGGCCTATGAACGCGTTTATGGTGTGGGCCCGCGAGAAACGAAAGTTGATTTCCCAAGAGAATCCAAAGATGCACAATTCGGAGATCTCGAAGATGCTCGGCGTAATGTGGAAGGAACTCACCGAGGAAGATAAAATTCCTTATATTGAGAAGTCGAAACGTCTGCGTATTCAGCTCCTAAAGGATCATCCGGATTACAAGTATAAGCCTCGAAGAAAGGCCAAAACACTGCCAGGCCAATCTATAGCCATGGGACTATCTTCGAGACATTGCGCCAGTTTTCCTATATCGCCTTACAGTACGCCACTCGTCAATCCTTCGGCTATGGCTCATGCATTGCCCATGGGATACTATCCGTATCCCAGGTCAGTCCGTTTTAAGTTGAGGGACCCAGATGTGTTGTCTACGTCAATGGTTTCAGCTGATGGCAACAACAATGCGTCCTTGGACGTCAATAGCTTATATCAATTTTACTCGATGGCACCGGCAGTTGGTAATCCGACATTGGCGCAGCATCACCTGAACTCGTTCTTCCCGACCAGCCATCATACATTAGGAACCAACAGTCTCCATTCCCAAATGATGTTGCCCTCCACGTCCGAAGGTACAGGAAGCGATAAATCCATCAACACTGATGCCAACCTATCACAACCTACTTCGTTATCGATGCACTCCCCTGAAGCATCGACATCATCTGGGTCATCTGCGTTGGATCCCGATTGGTATAGATACAATCCGGTAAAAAATTAATGAAAATAATGCTTTTTAAAAATTATTTATGCGTGCATTTACAATTTCTCAATCAATTTGGACTCCAACATATGATGAAAAATTTCATGAAATTCTAATCCTCATTATTATAATAATTTATTTCAAAAAACATAGCACAATCTATTCATCAAATTGTTGTTGTTTTGTGATTCTGTTTCTTTACAACGGAATTTTCTTTTTAAAATTTCTCCTGTACTGATTGCGTACTAGATTAAGAATATTAATCCGGGATTTTCAGTTTGTTACAGAAAGAAAGAAATGAGAAAGGAAAGAAAAATTAGAAGAAGTATAAATCTCAAAAAATAATCTGCAATACATGTGTTTATTATTTTCGAATCAATTAATTAAAAAAAAAAAAGAAATTACTCTTTAATTAATTGATTTAGTCTTATCTGATAGTTTTTAAGCTAGCTGTTGGTAAAACCGTCGCGCCGTTAACGAGGCGGATAATTGAATTAGCATATTAATGCGACGGAACAATGGAATCGTTTAGGCCCGGATTCGTTTTGTCTTGTCCAATGGGTTTTATTGCAGAATACGGTTCTTGATGAATAGCCACAGCCTAACCCCTTTCACGATATCATGTTGTTTGCAAATAATGTTCCCTAATTGCGGATGCACTTTTAACTTAACTTGTAACAATAATAACTTTTGGCCAGATGTGATAAATACGCAAAAAAAATAATACTGATAAAAATAATGTTATCCGTATACAGTGCAATTATAATATTTAATTGTATGAACTACATTGCATTGCACATAGTGCATATCGAATCTGTAATTCGAATTTGTATCCGAATTTGAATTGATTGAGGATAGATTGTACGATATTTCTTGATCTGAACTATACTTTGACATCTTTATGCGCAGACAGAGAATATCTGATTGTGTGTGTGTGTGTGTGTGTGTGTGTTTCGAAAAAGATTATTTAAATCTAATAAGATCTAATATATTTATCGCGAATAGCTTTTATACATCAGAACTAGTTATAGAATAGCTATCAAAAAGTTTTAGCTATTTTAACTTTTTCTTTTTTTATATCAGTTTAATCTCCTTCACTTAATTGTCAAATAGTTTTTCTTTATTATATTTATATCACACACACACGCACGCACGCACGCACACATATGTATAAGTATACAAATCAAAGTATATACATATTCCTACATATATTTTTGATACATCGTATTTATTCATCAGACTTTCTCTGTCAAAATATATTTTGATAAAGAAATATTTTTTTATATTTTTTATATTTATAATATTGTTATCTGTTTAATATCTCTCATACGAGTGTTGAAATATTATTGTATATAAATATGTCATGTATTTAATTTACGTATGACTTAATAATTTATGTAATTTATAATGAATTAAAATATGAAATTCTAAACTGCTAACTTTAATTGTTTCAGGCTCCGTTTTCACGATGAAATATGAAGATATACGTAATACGATTCGGGTTATCATTACCATGTACCTGCAAAAAGCAATATATATAATAATGAAGTTACTTTTATGAATTTACATAATGAGGAGGTATAACACTATAAAAACAGAAAAAATGGATGATAGATTTCCAAAGGCGAGAAATATTTCCAAAGGTCTGAAATAAAAAAGTGGAATGTTTTCTTGTAAATATATATATATATAGTGTATATATAAGTATATAGTATAGAATACTTCTCTGTGCAGTTTAATTCATTCAATTAGCCCAGGAGACGTAATTATTAAACACTCTGTATATGAATCAGATTAAAATAATAAAATAACTCTTTTATAAACATCTATTTATTTTATTGATATTTATTTAATTTTTTCAATTTTTTCATTATTTTATCTAATTTCAACTTCAATTTTAATTTCAATTCAATTTTCCATCTAAATCTTATTTGTATGAAATTATTTTAATCTGAAACATTAGACGTATTATATCTCCTCATTATGTCACGAACATTTGTACAAATAAATATATCTTCCGTTCTCTATTTCTTAATAAAAATTTGTGATTGGTCAATACAGATATAATAGTAACTGTATATATTTATATTTATGTATATACTGATATACTTATGTATATATTTATTATATGTAATTTATAATATGTATAAATTAATACAAATAATATGAAATTTATATAATTTATGTAATATATTTGTAATATATATGAATATATTTGTATTTATATTTAAATATACATGTATATTTTTTATACTAATAATGTAATTAATATAAATTTAAGTATTTATAATTATAATAATTAATGATATAAAAATTAAATATTAATACAAAGGTATTAAATTTAAATATAATTTATGTAATATTCATGAATATATTTGTATTTATACAAATATTTATATTTAAATATACATGTATGTTTATTATATTAATAGATAATGTAATTAATATAAAAATAAGTATTTATAATAATTAATGATATAACAAATAAATCATACTCCGTTTCACAACTATGATAGTACTTTGAATGGTCATATTTCTCATATTGGTTGATCGATTACATGATTTGTCACATGATTACACGATTGTCATGAGAAAAAAAATTGCTCAATTTTTCTTTCTATTTCCTAACATGAGGACATGAAATGGTACCTGAAATTTTTAAAGATTTTTCTTGCTTATTCTAAATCCAAAATTTTTTTTTTTCAATACCTGTTTGACAAATCGGTGACTTTGATTACCGAGAATTATTGAAAAATTATTAGAAAGAACATTAAATTGTAAATATTGCTATCACGACCTTCATCAATTATATTGTGTAAAATACAAAGATTTGTGACATACAGAATTCATGATTTTAATCAAATTTTAATAAAAAACATTTTTTTAAATAATTTGCTATATTTATTTTATTTAATCAAATTTTAAAAAAGAATAAAAATGTCTAATTCATAATTATTTAATAATCTAATAGTGTGTTGATGTCAAGAGCTTTTCAAAACACTGTAATAAAGTTATTTTTCATTAAGTATTATACTTTTCGAGTTATAAGGCTTGAAAGTTACAGTACTGCCGGCATTAGCATCACGCAAGATGTCCGACTGACGGCTAAAACCTCTTGAATATTATTCAGGATCATGTCCTGGATAACATTTGTTAAGATTAAGGCCATTGGAGATTATTTTCATTTTTGCTACTAAAAATTCATTTTTTCGTAAAGTATCGGAAAGTATTCAATAAAAAATAACTTTCTTATAGTGTTTTGGAAAGCTTTCGACACCAGCTATTAGATTCTGATATCAAAAATAGGGTATTCCGTTTAAAAAAATTGATTTGACCTTGACCTGACCTTGGCGAAGTCGCTCAAGATCAAACTTATATTGTGCCAGTAAATAGAAACCCTACAACTTTTATCTGAAACACTTTCCTGAAATGCTTAGTTTTTGAGATATTTCGCCGTTCCGGTACTTTTTATACACCCTGTATATGGAATATATATGGAACATTCTCGGAATATGTAATGATATATAAATGAAATTTTTAACCGATATTTAAATGTTTCTTCTACATTCCGTAAATATTCGGAATATTTTGGAGTATTCTTGGAATGTTTTTTGGGGATTTTAGGAAAGTGGATTTTAGTGCGGGGTCCTTTAATCCTCGTGGTCATTCGAAATCAAAATAACCCGAGTATCATCTTTCACGCTAAATGAAAGATGAACTTCCTGGCATTGGAAGGGCGCATACCTGCCATCGACTAAAGGTTTGAAACTTCAACTGTCGATAGAGATGCTTAGCTTTTTAGTTAATATGCGTCTAACATTACGCGCAAGAAACCTGTTTTGACATGTGACCACGAAGGGTTAATAATAATAATAAAGCTATAAATATTTGTAATATTTTATGGAAAAAAACGGCTGCGGTTGTCACGACCAAAAATTGTTCATAAATACATTTTTTTAGTTATAAGAACCATAGTACGATTGTGATAACCGTAATGGGCCTTCTACAATAAGCTATTAGTCATTATATATCAGAAGCTAAAAATTGACGATTGTGGTTGGTCAATTTTTAGCTTCTGACTTCTGATTTATGACTAATAGCGAAAATTATCACTATTTCCGATTGTGGCACAGTGGCAACCGTAATATTTTTTCTGTGTAGTTTTGGTTTTCTTTTGGTTAAGAAACTAAAACCAGAATACTTTCATTCAATATTTATTAAACCGTATCCGGAACCAAACTGAGAAAACAATTCCTCGAACGGATCCTCGACTAAAGACAATTATTATTTACTATAACAGTGTAATTCAAAATACAAAGCGTATTAAGAATAAAGCCAAGATTTCTTCTGAAGATTGATGTCTAGTATTCATGCTGGCAAGTGGAAATATAAAGCTAACTTCGTGGTAAGAATCACAAAACAATGTCCATACAGAACAAAAAATATGTTTTAACAAAAGACGATTAACAAATATCTTTTGTTAATCACGACAACAAACGTAAATATATATTTACCTATAATACTCCAGCACTATTGTACATTACAATACCGCTACTTGGAATGGACACTTAATTTTAAAAGCCAAAAACCCGCTCTTAAGACCTTACTTTTCAAAAGAAAAAGTTTCAGTTTTTTATCCTGTATTTCTATTTTATTATTTTCCACAATAGAAATCGTCGACTCGATATCTTATGCGTTACATAAGTCACGCAGATAAATATTCTCCTGTGAGTTAGAACAAGTTAAAACAAGTTAATTTCAAAAGATTCCAAAAAGCCAAAATTGTTTATGTCATGTCACTTATACATCGGCCGTTGCTTATTATTTGAATAAATAGAATTCTCTTTACGAAAAGTAGTTAGAATTCATAGAATCAACAAAATAGATAATACAAAAACCCCATCCTGGGATTCCTGGGGCATGTTAACAAACGTTAAACAAGAATGACATGACACTCGAGGAGCATCCAAATGAAAATCGCAACACGTCTCAGTGGGCCTATTCTGTAACTTTTTACTAGCTAGAGATGTCGTTGCGCAGGTATTTTACATGGTGAAAAAGCTGCACAACGATAGTATAACGATACGGAAATGTTAAAAATTACAGAATAGGCTTTTAGATTAGATTAAAATTAGATATGATCTACTCTGAATCTATTCATTTGTCCTTCAAATACATGTGTATATCGCCTTTGAGCGTGCTGCATTTCTCTCATTGAGAATGTTTCAAATGAAGCTAGATAGGTTTCCGTGCGCGTAATACCTGAACTGACGGTGATTAGTTAATTAAATTAGTTTCAGCGATTGGGAGAGAGATAGAGAGAGAGAGAGAGAGAGACATCAGTAGTACCATGAGCGCGCAAGAACCCCTTTCGGTGTGAAACGCCACAGTTGCGTCTGAAGAGAAAACCGGAAGCCTTTGTCGTGTCCTTTGAAATTGATTGAAAAACGAAGGAACTCGGCGCACAGAGCAATAACGTTGCGTTTACCGCCCCTGCAAATAAATACATCGCTACCAATCGCATGGAAAAAGCACCGTTAATCGAGGCAATTTACTGAGAGACGATTATAGAGAGGCAATTATAGCGTATAAACGTAATTAAAACGGGCGCGTAACAAACAAGGTTGTTTAAAAATTTACATCCCTACATCAAACGGCGTCAAAAGAAATAATATTTAAAATGCGAGAAATGTCATAGAATTTCAGGTTCTATGAGAGTTAATTATGAAAATAAAATTCAAAGGTAAAACATATTGAGAGTGTGGGAAACTAAGTTCTTGAATTTTTTAAAATTAAAAATATTTTGGATTGTAAGTAAAGTTACTCACTCTTTTATTGTAACAACAAATTCCTAAATAAGTAACGCTGAAAAGATCGATGAATCCGTATTTGTGATGATCTAGATCTAGAAAACGAAATTGATTTCGGTTGGAAAATATGTACTTTGTAATCTTATTTCACTTATTTTATATTCTTATACTTTTTTTGTCCTTCTGCGAAGTGTCAAATTCTGATGATCGAAAATTTTGATAGAACTTTGTATATATTACGGGCGAAGTCCGCAATGTGAGCAGTGTCGATATTGCCCGAGTAAAGGGCAATATTAATAAATGGGTTTATATTAATAAAAGTAGCGCATTTCTTTTATCTGAGCCGAAATGCCGATTACTTTTCTATTGGCTGTTTCGACCGTCATTTTGGCCCTGATTGTCTACCTAAGTAGTCCAATAAGCGCTTAGTATTATTATATGGTATGGTTAGTAGGGCCAATGGCGGACTTTTGCGTTCCTTTTATTAATATATAGAGTTTTATGCTCGGGCAATACTGACATTGTACAGTATAACGCAACTCGGGCAATGTCGACACTGCTCACTTGCGGACTTTGTCCGTAACATATACAATACATATAGTAGGTTATATTGATAGACGAATTTAGAAAGTATTAGTTGCAGTTAGTAAACTGTTTTAAAAAAGGTTTCGTAGAAAAGAGTTTTAAAATAGAATGAGATATCTACTCATCTATCTTAT